CTTCGCCTTTCACCACAACAGACTTATCAGCTGCACGCAGCTCTCCAAGCTGCCCGGCCGTGCTCCTTGCTGCCTGTGTGCTGCACTGTGGCTGCGCATATGCACGGGCATTTATCAGCCAAATTAATCAACCACATCAGGCCGATTTCCAATATAGTCAATTTTCTTTATATCGGTGTTGATCCAACATCAAACTGATGTATCAGTGCACCTCTAATATCAACGACTTCCTATAGCTGAAAGTTTGGAAACTGTGCCCCTAAATATATTGGCTTAGGAGTGGGCACATATGGCCCAACTGGGCCAGATGTATTCAAAGTCATTTCCATTGGGAATTATGCTTTTTTCTGTTAGGTTTTACACTAATGTGGAGAAGGCTTCACGTGCAGGTGGTGGCATGAAAGTATTTGGACGTGGCTGTTGACAAACAGAATCTTCTCTCCTACACTTCCTGGGGTCCTCCCTCTTCCCACCTTGCCCCAGGCCCAGCTCTGACATAAGCATTATAAACACCTAGAAAATTAATACACACACACACACACACACACACACACACACACACACACACACCCCCACCCACTTTGCCTTTGCTCCCAGGGATACCAGTCTTCCATCATCATCTTTTACTGTCTAGGCACTCTACAGATTATTAGTACTATGGACATTTTCAACCTGTGTGGAGATCAGAGATGCTTTTCCATATAAAGTCACTTTTATTCTAGTTTCCAAAAATTTCTGCAAAATAAAGCACTTTCCAGAGCTATCTAAGACCCCTAGCACATATTCATTTAATGATGCGATGGGATCTGATCCCTGATCCCAACAGTCATGTCTACTGTTAGACCATAAGCGTGCGGCAGGGAGCGCAGTGGTTGAGATCAGGGATTAGATCCCAACTGCAGGTGCACTGTAAAGCTCCCCATGTGCTGAGACCCACAGGGTGAGACACAGGCAGCTGTGGAGCTGGGAGCTCTCTAGCTGACGGTTCCAAAGCTGTTCTGGGAGCTTAAAGCAGGCATACAGCCAGGGCTCTCAGCTATAGTCCTGCTTTTTAAATGCCTGGGACACAGTAAAACAGATTGGGAAAA